GATAATTATTATTATTATTATATTATTATAATATTAATATTATAATAATAATAATAATATATTAAATAATAATAATAATAATAATAATATATTAATATTATTTTATAATAATATAATATTATAATATATTATAATAATATTATATTATCTCTGAGGAATATACTGCAAGTGACCACCAATACATTGAGTTCTCAGTCTCGATGAGAGACACGCGAGGAGGAAAAAGACAGGATGCTCCTAGTCGCAAAACCTCCTCGTGGAATATAAAGAGACTCGACAAGGAAAAGTTCGGCCGGGCCCTAAGAGAAGCCCTTTTAATTGAGGACTTGGGCTGGGTGAAGAGGCCGAGCAGTCTGGATAGGGAGGTGCGAGCGGTGAGGAACATGATAGTCACCGCTTGCAATGCGTCAATGCCACGCAAAGGCGCCATTCCCGTAAGAAAATCCTTGCACTGGTGGTCAGAGGAGCTAGCCTCCTTGAGGAAGGAATGCCTCAAAGCAAGAAGGACATATACCCGATCTAAGGGAGATCCCTTGCTGAAAGAGGCTTTCAAGGAGGCGAAAAAGAACCTCAAGAAAGAGATCCGCAGGTCGCGACGCCGTAGCTGGAAGGACCTAATCGAGGAAGTCGATAAGGACCCATGGGGTCTGGCTTTTAAAATCGTGACTAAGAAAATAGTGACGAGGCAAAAGACCCCCGGCCTGGACAATCCCGATTGGGTCAGAAAGATAATAAGTTCTTTGTTTCCTCCTGCAGAACCATACCTTAGAAGGGACTGGAGTTTTTGCAAAGTCGAAGAGGAAGAACTCTTCACACTTAGTGAACTGCAAAAAGCAGGCAAAAGATTGAAAACAGGCAAGGCGCCTGGAATCGATGGGATAAGTAACGAGATCCTAAAGTTGGTAATCGACACTTCACCCCAGATTCTGCTTCGATGCTTCAATCTTTGCCTTGAGAGAGGAGAGTTCTTCCGCGACTGGAAGCGGAAAGGTGAAAAACCTCTAGATAAAGTCTCATCATACAGGCCTATATGCCTGCTAGATACGATGGGTAAACTTCTAGAGATTATGGTTCTGCAGAGAATGCAAAGCCACTTGACCGAAGAGAATCGTCTACCCGATCACCAATTTGGTTTCCGTAAAGGCAAGTCCACGGTTGATGCCATCCAGGCAGTTGTGGACAAAGCCAAAGCAGGAAAAAACAAATTGGGACCTGGAAAAAAGAAGAGCTTCTGCGCGTTGGTAGCAATTGACATACGCAACGCGTTTAATTCCGCAAGATGGAAAGATCTCATCGAGTCGATGAAAAAGAAAAACATGCCGCCCTACTTGTTGCGGATAATGGATAATTATCTTAGCGACAGGTGGGTTATATATGAGGGAGACACCTGCACTCTCAAGGAAGAGATGCAGCGTGGGGCTCCTCAAGGCTCGAGGGTGGGTCCATTTGTATGGAATGTATCTTACGATGATTTTCTGTGAATGGATCTACCCGAAGGTGCGGTGATCATCGGCTTTGCGGACGACGCGTTGTTCGTGTAACCTTGGAGTGCGGAATTCAAGGTATCTATAGGCAGATTTCCCAAAGGTCCCTAAGCAAAAAATAATAATAATAATAATAATAATAATAATAATAATAATAATAATAATAATAATAATAATAATAATAATAATTAATAATAATAATTAATTAATAATAATAATATATTATTATTATTATTATTATTATTATTATTATTATTATTATTATTATATTAATATTATATTATTATATTATTATATTATTATTATCACCAACAGGCTTTTAAACTTTGTAGTGCAACCGGTAATTTTAATGAAAATAATAATTTAACATAAGCATCTATACTGTTCGTTACTTCGCTTTCATTTTATACACCGACAAGTCGAATCCACAACAATTCAAACAACGACAAATAGACAGCACTTTTTCGAGGTGAGGAACTTTCCGCCATGACAATCGCTGGATGCTACAACGATGAGACAGAGAAGAAATCTGAGTTGAATTACCCACTAGGCCGCTGGAACCAATTCCCGGTGAAGGAAACATGAATTAATTCCCCAATCAAACCTTTTATTAAATAGACTCAATTCTCAATTAATTCTACTTCATTCAAACAACAAAATCTACACGTAATTAATGTTTCCAAACCGAGAACATTTGTCTAACTCGCGACCGCCGGTAAACATCTCCTTCTCGTAAGGCCGCTGGTAATCAACTAGTCAGACAAGACACTGGTTTTTCCTGTCCTTGTCCTAAGGTCACTGAAATCTGATAAATCCTTCCTGCTAATTATATCGACAGAAAATTACCTGAAAATAAATTCGTCTCTGGCTACTAACAATTGTGGAAATTCGTCACCACGCTTATACTCATTATACACGGAAAAAACTGCATGGTTGGGACAACCATATATATTGAAAAATACGGGATATCCATAGTTAAGGTTATCACATCCATTTCTATGGATGTGTCAACTAAATAAATGGATGTAGTACCCATCGAAATGGCTGTGGTATCCATAGAAATGGATGTGATAACCTTAACTATGGATATCCCGTATTTTTCAATATATATGGTTGTCCCAACCATGCAGTTTTTTCCGTGTACACACAATGAGCCGCAACCAGAATCAAATCAACTTTGGAAATTTAAGAAAGAGATACCAACTACAATACTGATTTCTCCGACAAATTTTTCTCCGTAGAAAAAGCAATTAAGATAAAGATGTCGGAAGCGTGGGGAAGGAACATTCAGTGGATTGAAGAGTCACTTTCGAAATCTGCAACTTATGATTGCCTTACCCAAGAAGATGATACCCAGGAAATACTGGAGCAAGAACACAGAAAGCGTGTATGCAGGAATGTTACGGTTTCGGTACCCTGCAAGCGAGAGATGAAGCAGTTGTTGTCACCAATCACAAGGAAGAGGACAGACTGGAGAAATTGGGACCCATAAAAATAGGTTTTCTGTTGGGTCTAATCAAGAAAAAAATTGTCATTCCTACAAAGTGTCTCATTGACCAGGCAATCGAATTATAAAACGAATTGAGACAATCTTTACTAAATTAATCGTGAAACAAAATTTTTATTTATATACTTATCAACATTTCGTAACAATACATTTATCCAAAAACCTAAAATGCATTTACTTTTTGGATAATAAATATTTTTTCAAGTGAGATTTTCAAAGTAGAACTTCTCCCTTCAACTTTATATGTAGATATTCCTGACGTGAAATCGATATACATGTAAATGTTATCAGTATCATTTTTATGCGTAAAAATATCTTTTACTAGCTTTGAAAAATCTGCGTATTCAAAATAAATTTTCTCTTCATTTTTTAAATTAGTTTTATTAATAGATAATTGTGTGTATATAATGTTAATAAGTAAATACATAATGACAGTAAATTATGTATGGCACGTTGAATAAAGAATTTACAAGTAGTCCAAACAACCGAATCTGAAGTCTCGATTCCTCCCACTCACAAACGACTATCATGATTGTAAATTTCTCATTTTCTGTTGACTTTTATGGAGAGCAACGTTGTAACTTTGATATACAATAAAGCACATACTTAATATCGTCGAATTCCTTTTTGGTTACTTAATCACATTTCCCCTTTACGAATATCAATAATTAATTTACAGAAATTTATGATCTCATAAAATCAAAATGTGTTATATTGAGAATTTTGCATTTTTTATTTCTAATATATTACATATGTTCTTTTGTAAAGAAAGTGCTTTAAGAATTTTTTTAAGACTTAAAAAATAGACAATTATTTCTTAATTGGATGGGGTGATTTTCTATAAGTTTTCGCTTAATTATAAATCAAAGTCAATCAATAAGAAAACATATCAATTCATTGATTTATTATGAATTTGCTAATTAAATCCCAACTGTTATATAATTAAGAATCAACCACACACCAATTATTGTAAATTTAATTATAGGTATGATATTTTTCAAGAACAATTTTTTTTATATTTATCTTTTCTAAAGATTTAATTAGTCAGTTAATTACATATTATAATTGTACAATTGATGAACAAAATATTAAAATTTTAATTAATTTTAATATCAAAGGGCTGAAAGAAACATCACTATTCATAGTTTCTATTAATTTTAATAACACTTTATGAGATTTTTAATTAAATTTTAAATAAAATTTCTACTTTTCTTGTTTTATCTTAATTAAGTGTCATTTAATGGCTATTGGATAGTTCCAATCGAATGTATGCTTTGTGACAATTATTATTGAACATAAAGTCAAGATGACTCTTTTTTTTCTTCAACGTTATGCTCAGGTGAGTTATTATCGGATATAAAATGGTAAAAATATTTTTCTGTTGTACATTTGTCTGTCTCGTTAGTGTGCAGTTACAGTAATGTTATAAATAATTTTTGCAATTTTGAAAGGACACTATTCACAAACAATAACTTTTTATCTTTTTTTCACTTTCCCCTATTTATTTTAAATCACATAAAATAAGGAATTATTGTCACACTAAATTTAGAGGTAGTAAATTTTTATTTTTCTGTAGAAATAAGAATTTCAAAAAATAAGTTGCTATGAATTCTCTTATTATATTAAGTTTCTTCCTTTCCTTTGTTCATCACATACATATATTATTACATATATATTACATACATTATTATTTATTTATTTATTATTATTATATTACATACATCTGCACTTTAAAAAATTTCAAAATATGTAACACACGTACACTTACACATAATATACAAACTTACAAATGTATGCACAAAACATGTGCACAAAATAAACACATATGCACATATACACATACACATATTCACTTATATATTTACACATATACACAAAAAAGTGCACATAAACAGATACACAAATATCCAAAACACTTACACATATGCACCGTAAACACATACACATATACTGTTACACACATATACAAAACATGTACACATCCCCTTAAGGAAAAAAAACTCACAAAATATCAAAGAACTCTTTTATTTGACCATTTCAATAATCTTAATGAGTACCTTTTACAAAATAAGGACTTTGTGAAAATATAAAGAAATATTTTGTTCTTCAGACTCTTAGTAATCAGTCGACTTAATTCATTAATATTGCAAACGAATGTTTTGAAGCAAAACGAAGATTAAGAAAGAAAGAGAGAGATAGAGTAAATGAAAACGAAATTATTAAATGAAACGAAATAATTTTTTCTTATATACTATTTTACCGAGAATTTAACCAGGCTTCAATTTTCGCCTCGTTCTTCTGTAACCATTTCATGTTGTTAACGACTGTTTCAAGTCCTCGTGTTCTATATAAGGCACCGGCTCCTGCTTCCGGATATTTTTCGTAGAATGCTTTTATTTCATTTAATTTCACCTCTGAGGCAAATGAACTTGTAACGGCAGGGATCAATTGACCTAAATAACGATCGTTTAGGGTGTATCTTTTAACAAGAAATTCCCAATTTTCTCGTACCCAATCCCAAACTAATGGGGTACCAACGGGATTTGCTGAGATTTGACGCAAACATGTAAAAGCATCTTGTGCTCGTACATAATTTTCATCCATTGCGTTAGAAATGAATCTATAAATTAATTTTTAAATTAATTAATAATTTAAATTAATTTTTACATTCTTATTTAATGCAAAATTATTTGTGTGTTTTAAAATAAAATAATTATTGGAAAAGTTTTTTCTCTAACCTGTTAAGCAATGAAGCTGATCGTACACCAGCCAAACCTCTCATTAATTTCAATTTTTCAAGAGAATTTGTTTCCTTTATGAATTTTTCAAACATTTTTTTCCATTCAGCCTCACCACCAATGTGACTCATACCTGTTGATAGTTTGAATACATTTTCAAAAATTATACACATATATGAGGCATTTTACATGAAATGTCCTAAGCTGAAATTTCAATTTCTTGAAAAAAATTGAAACTCGGGGAATTTGTTGTTCTATCAAGTAGAAATGTGATCCAAAAAACATTTTTGACTTTTTCGAAAATTTGGAGGGGGTAGAAAAGGGTCAATTTTACCAATTTTGCTAACACCGTCTAATTTTTTAATTTTTTCTGTACATACTTGTAATAGGAAAAATTTTGTAGAATATGTTTCTAAAAGGTTTTTTCATGCATTCACCAATGGTGAATTTTATTTGAAAAAATTTTAAAAATTGACCCTAATTTTTGATGATTAATATTTAATTTTCAATTTCCCAAAAATCGGTCCGTTTTATTTGAAAATAAATTATTGCAAACGAAAGCTGAGACATTTCACGTAAAATGCCTTATATAGGCTTTAATTATATTTAGACATAGGTAAACATTAAATTTTTAAATTTTTAATTTACCGTAATAATAAACGCTGGATCTTATGTCTGGATGAGGTCGCTCGTCTTTAGGATCATTAATCCATTTTTTGAAAATTTCAGCTCCTTCCTCTAAACACTCGGTATGGCCCATTTCACATGCCAATGTAAGTATCACAGTTCTAAGATTTCTATAAAGAGAAAAAAAAATCATAAGGGTAACAGAGGATGATCTTGTAATGGAAAAATGACAATAAATTAAGTTTAATTATTTACTTACAAAGTTACATGACTATCAACATTCTCGACACTCCAAAGGACTTCATGGTAGACAGGATCGACCAAATTTCGGATATATTCCTAGAAATGTTTGATATTTTTAATAAAATTATTTTATATTGATGTGTATGAATTTACCAATGATTGTGATGGAATTTCATTTTTAAATTAATCATGCACTCTAAATAAAAGGTTCTAAATTAGAGCTGATTTTCGGTATTAAAATAGAACCAAATGTCGATTTAGTACCCAAAATTGGTACTAAATTAGTACCTTTCTTTTTACAGTTTGTGAACAAGTGGGATTCTTTATTTTAATGACGGGGCTTTTCACTAAAGGATATCCAAACAGCAATAATGAAAATACAATCCTCTGGCGCGACTTCTTATCCCATATAGATGATTTACTAGAATATTTGCGAGATATTATTTTATTTCTCAAAACATCACTTTAGTATAATTTTAGCTCTAAAAAATAATTGTAAGACAGAATGCTTATAGGTAAATAATGTCTTATTAAGTAATGAATCATTAATCAAATTTTAAGTAAAAATACTTTTTAAACAACATAAGTCTTAATTGAAAGAATTTTTTAGAATAAGAATAATAATTAAACAAAAATATCTTTAAAACTAAAATAGATTTGAACGATATTTTATAGAAAAAGATTACAATTTGTAAAAAAATTTGTTAAGCAAATATTTAAAGTCTCAAATTCTTTGTTTAATAGAATATTTATGTGCCAATCTTTCAATTTTCAAAAAATCTTATTTATTGGAATATATGTTTAAATAAACTTTTATTAATACAATGTATTATTTAGAAAAAATGATATATGAAAAAATGTATAATTTAATTAACTCTTGTATGACAAAAATTTTTCTTAGGCAAATGGTAATTTTATAGAATGTTAATTAAAAAGAATATTAATTTACAAGAAATGAAAGTGAAACGAATTCTAATTTAATAGAATACTTAAATGTCTGAATTATAATTTGGCAGCATGTCAATTCGATCGATTTTATATTTGTAAGAAATTCAATTTGACATAATATCAATTTATAAGAAACACTTTTTCGTAGAATTTTAATTTATCAGAATTGTAATTTTGTAGAATATTAATATTGCCAAATCTAATTTTAGTAGAAATCTGCTTTATCAGAATGATCAAATGTTCGAATCTTCAAAATTTCTAATTTCATTTTTACCTACAATCAATGTGACATAAATATTTGGCGCAAATTTAAAAATTGACCAATCAGAAATTAAATTTTTAAAATTTGCGCCAAATATTTATGTCACATTGATTGTAGGTAAAAATGAAATTAGAAATTTTGAAGATTCGAACATTTGATCATTCTGATAAAGCAGATTTCTACTAAAATTAGATTTGGCAATATTAATATTCTACAAAATTACAATTCTGATAAATTAAAATTCTACGAAAAAGTGTTTCTTATAAATTGATATTATGTCAAATTGAATTTCTTACAAATATAAAATCGATCGAATTGACATGCTGCCAAATTATAATTCAGACATTTAAGTATTCTATTAAATTAGAATTCGTTTCACTTTCATTTCTTGTAAATTAATATTCTTTTTAATTAACATTCTATAAAATTACCATTTGCCTAAGAAAAATTTTTGTCATACAAGAGTTAATTAAATTATACATTTTTTCATATATCATTTTTTCTAAATAATACATTGTATTAATAAAAGTTTATTTAAACATATATTCCAATAAATAAGATTTTTTGAAAATTGAAAGATTGGCACATAAATATTCTATTAAACAAAGAATTTGAGACTTTAAATATTTGCTTAACAAATTTTTTTACAAATTGTAATCTTTTTCTATAAAATATCGTTCAAATCTATTTTAGTTTTAAAGATATTTTTGTTTAATTATTATTCTTATTCTAAAAAATTCTTTCAATTAAGACTTATGTTGTTTTAAAAGTATTTTTACTTAAAATTTGATTAATGATTCATTACTTAATAAGACATTATTTACCTATAAGCATTCTGTCTTACAATTATTTTTTAGAGCTAAAATTATACTAAAGTGATGTTTCGAGAAATAAAATAATATCTCGCAAATATTCTAGTAAATCATCTATATGGGATAAGAAGTCGCGCCAATCCTCTTTGCAGACAGAGTGGTTCGTACGATTGATGAACACTTATAGGTTTCACTGAGATCTGTTGCACTCGGCAGAAAGTTATAAACTTTTATACCCTTTCTGACTAAAAACCTTCAAGGTAGTCCTAATGACTCTCCGAGACGCATGCTTATTCCCGAAATCTTTTTTAACCAAATAGTTATTTGATATAAAACTATTTAACTTAAAATTCACATAATATGCACATTATTTGACATAAATTTCATTGAACACAAAAACCATTTAACATAAATATCATTTGTCATAGAATTCATTAAACAGAAATAATATATTACATAAAACTCAGATAACTTAATTCCCATTTGACATAAAAATTATGTAACATAAATTTCTATTGACATAAAAATCATTTAACATAAATTTCTTTTGACATAAAACTCATTTAAATGCAGGAGAATATAAAATCTTATTCTTCGCAAGAAAGCGAATAGATTGGCGTAGTTTATAAAATATATGTTGTATTTAAAATTAATAGAATTAATCACAATTAAAGGTGAAAAATTGACTTTTTTAATAAAAATTGTTATAGATTTTTTTGTTGATCGTAAAGACGAAACACAAAATGTTCGTGTAATGAACATCTGAATTTACAACTTTTGTTTACTTATGTTTTAAAATTATATTTCTTTAACATAATTTACACAAACAAATTTTTTTGTTCATATGTGCGAGTATTATTATAAGTAAAAATATTTCCTCCTAGAATTGAAAAAAATTATTTTTATTCTATATTAAATTTCCTTTTTAATTTCACTGATATTTTTATAGCGTTTTGAACAATATATACTTTTAACTAGAGGTGTGCAAAAAGCTCGAAAAGCCGAGCCGAGCCGGGCCGCAATTTTTTCGAGTCGAGCCGAGCCCGAGCCGGGCTCGATGTATCGGGTACCCGAAATTTTCGAGTAGCCGAAACATTCGGGTACCCGAATTCACTCGAGTACTCGAATATTTCGGGTACCCGAATGTTTCGGGTACTCGAAAATTTCGGGTACTCGATTTAATTCGAGCTTTTAAATTAAAAAAATTTTTTTTTGAAAAAAAAAAAATTTAATTAAAAATTAATGTAGAAAATTTTGGATTTTCTCAAGGGCTCGAATCAAATCGAGTACTCGAAAATTTCGAGTACCCGAAAGTTTCGGGTACCCGAAAAATTCGAGTACCCGAAATTATTCGAGCTTTTTATAAAGCTCGGCTCGGCCCGAGCTCGGCTCGAGCTCGAACTGAATAGGCTCGGCTCGGCTCGAAAATACCCGCTCGAACTTCGGGTTTCGAGCTTTTTGCACACCTCTACTTTTAACACAAATGATTCAGAAAGATTCGACTGGATTCTATGTGTGTCAACTGTCAACGCTTTGCTTTTTCAAAACATGTGTCAATGTTCCGCTTTTTACTTCGCTTGTCAGATATAATAGAAATGGGAGAAAAAATAGAATTATGACGAAGGAGGTATACGTTTAGTTAAATGACGCTCAAAAATCTGTTGTGGAACGCATGCACTGTAAACTCGCGGTTAGAACTCTGGTTAAAAATGGACTCGGTTTAAAGTCGAAGTTGTGGAACCGGCCCTTAGTCTACTATTTGGTTGAATGGTAACTTAAATGGTGAATTGTACTTTTTGTTTACAGATTTAAAGATCATACTGTTCTATGTTAATTTTAATTGTCTATTTGTTTGATGTGCAGGCTCTTGTAAAGTAAAGCCTATAATATAACGACTTCATCCATTCACCATAGATCACGTATCAACGATCAACGAGTTTCTTGTAGGTTCTTCCCTAAAGGTCCTTTGCAGGTGGCTGGATCCGTAAGGATTATAGGCAGAATAGTATATTGAATCGAACTTTAGCGTCCACAAACAAAGTATGTGGGGATAGGAAAAACGCTTCAGAAAGCATTGAATTTCTTTGGGGTGGATCCTGTCGAAGGAAATAAATTCCCTCCTCAGATGCGCTTGCCCAAGATGGATTATGCGACAATTGACGACACCAAGAGCAGGCGTTCAAGCACAGGTATACCTCGTGTTCGTTAGGCTTGTCGGATAAAAATACGTTCACCCGCCTGAGGAGTCAAATCAATATTAGACTTGCCTGACCTACACGGCACTGCCCATCATCATCAGTATACTACTTCTCTACAAGAAATACACAGCTAGTCGACAGTAAAATATTGTCATTCATCAATATACAATTAATTAAAGTAGGTTAGTGATTATCGAATACAAATCGACTCAATTAGTAAAATTCTGCAGCACTAATAATAGTTTCAGAATTGTAATGACCATTTGGAATCAATTAATTATACAACGTAAGTTCTAATTCCTAAGGCATATCAATTCCGAATTGTAAGTTCTAATACCATTACAAAGTGTAGTCGGAATCGCATCAGTTATTTGGAAATAATTAATTCAGCAATGTCGATAATCCTCTAATTGATTGGACAGCACAGGTCAGTTTTTTATACATATCAGTACCGAATTGTGCTTGTCGATTAATTCTAAATAAAACAGTTATTGCAATCATCTGGAAATCATTATGTGGGCCATGTGAATATTTCGAGTGCTAATACAAGTCAGCGAATATTATTTACAGTTTATAACACTACAAATAGTTCCGGAACCACAGTAACCATTTAGAATCAAGTAATTAGACAACGTAGGTAATTCCTACCGACATATCCACTTTAAACAACTTGCTCTAATTCTAATAGAGTTGTTGTCTATTATAACTAAATTCAAACAATTAAATAATAATGAAAATAATATGCAGCCGACTGTATGGGAAACATATCTAAGATGATGCCCAATGTCGGTGGACACAGAGAGAAGAAACTCCTATTAATGGCGACCGTGGTTCAAGCAAAGCAGCTCTACGCTGATCCTGCATGGGCTGAGTCCCTAAAGAACCGCGGCATCTCTGATGAGCTACTTTCTCCGATAGGTGGTTGTGCACGGCAAGTAGTTTTAGCTTATGGAACAGTTTCAACGAGCGCTGCTTTGGTTCTTGGGAGTCTTCCGCCAGTAGATTAGTAAATCTGGTGAGGGGAAAACAGGAGGTCTTCCAGCTCAATAAAAATCGATTTATCTCGCAATAACAACAGCGTAAAAATCTCCTCAAAAAGGTTATTCACAAAGAGGCGAGATGTAGACTCGTTGAAAGATGGCAAGAGAGATGGGATGGGGATCCTAAAGGAAGGTGGACATATCGCCTGATCCCCAACCTCGACACTTGGCTCGAAAGAAAGCACGGAGAAGTTGGTTACTATCTAACCCAAGTGTTGTCGGGTCACGGATGTTTCCGACAGTACCTTCATATGTTCAAGATTAAGAGAGAAGCAAAATGCGCCTACTCTGATGCTGCAGTAGATGACGCGGAGCGTACTCTTTCATTGCGGGAAATAGAACCATGATAGAATGGCCATATTTGCGTCAGTTGGCTTTGAAATCAACGTCGATAACATAGTGTCTACCATAGTTTAAAACGTGGACTCCTGGAGGCATATTGAATCCTTCATTATTAAAATAATGGGGAAAAAAAATATAGACGGAAAATGAGGTTGACAGAAGTAAATCCAGAGCTCGGCTGTGTGTGTTATTTGCTATTTGGATGTTTAGTTAAGATCCTAGCAATCACGACAATATTTACCAAACTTTTATAAATTACCTGGAACTTTGGGGAGGCACTAGTAGAAGATAGTAAAGTGTGCATCCTTAAAAATTTCGTAGCCGCCATATCCCAAGGGACAGCGTGAAGTTCCGATGACAGATAATTAGTCATATCCATAGTTATATTATAATCAAGTTCAGCAGCATCTGCCAAACTAAAAGCGTCCTCCAAAACATGTGTTCTATCCGACGTAGAAAATCTCTAAGATTAAAAAAGAAAATAAATTCATTAAGAATAAGTTATAGTTAAGAATAGGCTACGATACCTTAATATCACAAGAAGGTCATAAAATCAAAAATACCTTATGGTTCCATCTCAGAACTTCTGCAAGTTTATGCCATTCAGCAGTCTCATAATTGACACGATAGTATCCAATTTGGTCACAATTGAATTTTATCCAATCAACTGGTTCGTCTAGCTTGACCACCACTTTGAAAAAAACATTACATTAATTTCGATAACATGACGTTTTAGAAAATGTGTTCATAATTATAAAAGATGTTACAATTCTTCGCATCCTTGTCGAACCAGACTAAAGTTGGAGTTGAATTGGCACTTGTGATGTAAGTAATAGGAATTGTCCATTTGTAACTGTAAAGTATTTAATTATTAATTTTTTTTCATTACAATTGTTAACGGAATAAAAATAATATCTTTTGGTTATTATAATAAATTAAGACAGTACTCCTACCCATAATCTGAGTCCGTAACATTAAACTGAGCTTCAGGATCAGCAAGGAAACGCTTTTGGGTCACTGTGTAAGAAGTTTTTGTTTTGACAGTAACATTTATAACAGGGAAACCCATTTGACGAGTCCATGTGTCCATAATTGAATTAATATTTATACGATTGCCAATAGCTTCTTGAAGAATTGAAAAAAGATCTGCGGTTTCCGCATTCCGGTAAGCATTTCTTTTCAAATAGGTCGTGATTCCTTGATAAAATATGTCCGATCCAACAAAATCGTTAAGCATTCTTAGAACAGATGCACCCTGGAATTAATTCATAATTTAAATATTCGTCACCATGATTCTACATTTAGCAGAAATGCTAATTGTCACAAAAGAAATGTCAGTGGAACCTGATGGTATAAAAATTATTCACCTTATTATACGATATCACATCGAAAATTGCGGTGATGTCGTCAGAGTTTGAGACGGTTTGAACGATTGGATGGGAACTGAGTTTCGAATCAGTTTGAAATGCTACATGTAATTGTTCTGTTAGAAAATGGTCCATCTGGAATGTTTTTGCAAAGTTGAAGTAAATATAAGATTCAATTAATCAATGAATTAAATATTTACGAACCAATCCCCAATCTGGTAGAATGGCATCCGAACTTTTGTAACTCATGTAGGTTGCGAATCCTTCGTTTAACCACAAATCATTCCACCAAGCCATTGTTACTAAAATGTAAAAGCATCAAGTTAGTTTAAAATTAGTTACTATTGTCTAGATTAGACATTAAAAGTCCTATAGATCACTTATAGTCGTCTTCGACCATTTAGAGTTATCCTGGACATTTTAGGACGATCTTAGGATATCTTTAAGACATCTTAGAGCCCACTGAGTGGTCTAATATTTTTTGGCAATATAATATGCTATAATATGCAATATTTTATGCTTTTTCTGACATTTTAAACAAAAATTCTATGTGTAACAAATAATAACTAGAAGAATTCCTTGAGTTATTGAACGAAAGTCTAGAACAATGAGTAAAATAAGCCTTACCAAGATTTCCAAACCACATGTGAGCAAATTCATGAGCAATCACCGAGACGACACCTTCTTTATTAGCAGAAGAACTTATTTTGTCATCAACTAAAAGTCTTGCTTCTCTGTAGGTTACAAGGCCCCAATTTTCCATCGCACCTGATACAAAATCAGGAATAGCTGCCATATCTACAAATAATGATTTATATTAAAAAGTATGAAAACTACTAGAATACCTGAAGTTGACGCAAAATAACTGGTATACACCTACCCATTTTTGGCAAAGGATAATCAACTTTAAAGAGATTAATATAATATTCAATAATTTTAACTCCAATATCAAGAGCAAAGGCACCCTTTTCTTTGTTTGCTTTCGTAGTATAGACGCTAATTGGAAAAGTTGTACCATCCAGTCGTTTTGCTTTTTCAGAAAGTGCAACAAAATCACTAACAATAAAGCAGGACAGATAGGTTGACATTGGAACACTTCTGGCAAAAGTTACTGTCGTTAGTCCTGACGATGGTTTGTTCACTTCTGATTTCTGTTACATTTTATAACAAAAATTAGAATCCGTTTTCTCAAAAATGTCTTTATTATGTTGGGCATTTTCAATTAACAATTTATTTCGCCCATTAGTTAATGTAATGTTTTATAATTAATAAGTTCTACTATTAGGAAAACATTTGAGTCGTTGCTTTGAGACTAACAAGTAAACGTACCCAAGTGCCACTCGCCGTTCTTAATCAAACTAGTATTATCTTTATAGCGTGGAAAATATAAGTTACGTATCTTTTAAAAGTCTCCATAAAGCTTTTTAAGGATAGAAACCACCCTTAGATTAAAAATATCAACCCTTTTTGTAACTAGTAGAAGATTACGAAGTACAGTGAATATAATGGTATGCAAATCACCACTTAGGGATTTAAAGGGTCGCTAATTACGAATATAGTGTCAGATTTTAAAAATTCAAAATGGCGGATGTAAATTTAAAAATGTATGATACTTTCTCAAAAATAAGTACTCAGGGGTTCTAATAAATTTTATTAGTCTACTTCCAAAAAAATAATCATACCTCCACATTCATGTTGGAAATTGCTCCATAGCAGTCGGTGGAGGGATGAATAATTTTAATAGTAAATTCCGCCTTAAAACTCGGCTCATCAAAGCAAGGGAATGCTCTCCTCGCGTAAGTTGGCTCGAATTTTGTTGTTGCAATATATCTGGAAAATTAGAAAACATTTTACCTAATCGATAAAACCTATTCTTATCCTTATAGCATCCGGATATTCAGGATATCCTACGAGCATAAAAAAGTTCTACTTGGAACTGATACAAATTACTTTATAATAGCAAAATTTTAAGTTGTTTCAGTTAAGAAATTCGTTATTCTACAGAATCTTATCGTTGTTCCACTTGAAGTTTTTTTTCGTGTAAGATATGAAATATTCGCTACTGTTATGAAGCTAAAACTGACACCCAACTATTATCACGTACTTAATTTTGAAAATAAATTTTAATGTTAGAAATTTTTTTTAAACAATATAAAGTTTTTAAAAAAGAACTTTGTAGATGCAGATAACTGAGTTCCAGTTTCAGCTTCATGCTGCTATTAGAGTAATAGAAAAAAATTTGCCAAAAAATTGTTCTTCAAATTACGAAACACTAATTGATTACAATCTAACTACATTAGATTTGTATTATTTCAAAATTATCAAAAATTTATTTTATCAAAAAAATTATATTAGATAAAGTTTCTTTTAATACCTCTCCTTATCTTGTGCGTCTTTGTACTTGCTCGAGTAAAATCCAACAATTTTGTCAGGCCTCAATAATCCATTAAATTCCAAATGCAAATGGTAATTACTTGGACTGAGATTTTCTTCGGTGGAAATCATAAAGACTTCCTGCTTTTCCAATGAATAGGTTTTCTTTATTGGAATTTCATAAACGTCATCTTTCTCATGTGTTAACTTTGTTTTTGTTATATTAAGATCCTTTTGATGAAGAGCAATGTATCCCCTTTTATCCAAAACATTTATCAGAATAGTTACAGTGCCTGTGTATGTTCCATTTTCCAAATCAGGATGCATTAACAAATCATAGTGAATTGGTTTAACTTCTTTTGCAAGTCTGTATGGTATTTCGGGTGAATTTTCTGTCGCCATTGCAGTGTAGTTATTCAGCTTATTCCTTTGATCTTAAAAATAATTTCTTGTTAGATTTTATAAATTTTGAGAAATAATATATTAAGTTATGATTAACTCTAACAGCATCCGGATATTGAAGATGTCCTAAAATATCCGTTGCTGTTAAAAATGTTTATCAGTTAAAATGTATTAGTTGGGGTATTAGTACAAACTAGTATTCTTTCACGTAATTCAACTATTTTCCTCTTATTTGACAAAAGATAGAAAATAAATTTAGGAACTTCTTACTTGAGTAATTATAACAAGTTGTACTATTTCTTAGGGGCGTCTTCTTTAGATATGTGAAAGCACAAAACCGAAGGAATAACATCTGTTAAAAATAAATCGAAACTTATCTACATAATGATAAAAAAATACAGTTGTTAAATAAACGAAAAATATTAATTTTCATGGGAAATCAAAATACTATTTTTAAATTTCTAGTAACGTTGGAGAGTTTCAGATGGCAGCACATCACTCCAAGACTATGTCACTCGTGAAAATATGTGTATATTCACTGATAAATAAAAACCAAGAAGGAAATGATAAAAAAATTAACTTAAAATATATTTTTAACTATCAGAATCAACTGTTTCGATATACTATAATATTTATAAAACTAGAATTCCAAACCACATTGATACTATAAACAAAATTTGAGTAAAAGTAAATATTTATATACAATATATAAATATAAGTATTGAAATTTACACCGTCGATGTATAGACTTGAGAAAAAGAAGAAATTTTTCAAAAGTTTTAATAAATTATTTAATGAAATAAAATTGTATTTACCTGTGAGTAAACTTGTAGCTTGTGCTTTATCGTTCATAACAACCACAAGCGCAGTCAAACACGAACAAAGGAGACTGAGAAATACACAAAGTCCACAAACAAATTCTAAAAGCGGAGAACCGGCTCCCCTTTGTCGATAAGCTAGCACTCTTGGTCTGCAGTTGTCAGAATTCACTGTTTTATCAACCATTTTCGAGAACGTGCACATGCGTCAAAAATAACTGAAAAAGAAGAATGTCAACTGTTTATTATTGTTATCTTAAAACGAAAAAATGTAATTTGATTTCGAATCAAATTATAATTTGTAGTTTTTTTTAGAATATTGTAGTTACTATTTTAAAAAGAGAAAACAAATTGATCCTTTTCTAATTTTGTTTGTTTTAGATACAACAGAGGAATCGTAAGTATAGAAACATTTATGTCAATAGATGATTAATAAAAATTAAGGATGGAATCATATTTTTAAAAATTAAATTCTTAATTCAAATTTTTAGTTTCAAGTACATCTGGAGGCCCTACTGAAAATCCCTGTATAAGTTATATAGTATAAGTATAAGTTATATAGTTCTTGTATTGGAACTTGTACAAGAAAATGTACAAGTACTTGCAGTGGCGTAGGAACCGGGGGGCAAGGGGGGCAGTTGACCCCCCCAGTTATATACATACTACATTGTTAAATATATCTATATATGTAGTTTGCCCCCCGGAAAATAATTCGTTTCTACGTGGCTGAGTACTTGTACAAGAAAAGAAACTACACGGAAAAAAAGTACGTGAATCCTTCCTTGACAGTGATTGACTTTTGGATAGGACACAAAATACAAGGCTGTTCCATATACTTTTTATTAGAAAATATAAGAAAGTCCTAGAATTATTCTAGTACTAGTATGGGCCGTACTAGTACTAGAATAATTCTAGGACTTTCTTATATTTTCTAATAAAAAGTATATGGAACAGCCTAGTATTTTGTGTCCTATCCAAAAGTCAAGCACTGTCAAGGAAGGATTCACGTACTTCTTTTTTCCGTGTAGTACAAGAAAATGTATATGATATTGTACGGGTTCATGTACAAGTACTTGATACATGAACACGTTCATGTTCTTGTACAAGTAAATTTATAAATAAATTTTTTTTAGAAAATTGGGATAAGTAAATTTATACATAAATAATTTTTTTTTTTGAAAATTGGCATTTTAATAACTTACAATCGTTAAGACTCTTTACTTAAGGCAAGCTAAAAACTATTGCGCAGCTCTAAAGGCTTATAAAAACTACTGCGCAGCCTTTAATGTTTACAATTTTTACAACTTTAAAATAATGTGTAAAGAAAATGTACAAGTACTTGTACGTGTTCTCACTTGTCAAAGTACTTGTACATGAACCCGTACAAGATCATATACCTTTTTTTGTACTAGTTTCTTTTCTTGTACAAGTTCCAATACAAGAACTATTGTTTCAAATCCTTGTACAAGAAATTGTACATTTTCTTGTACAAGTTCAGCTGCTGAACGTGTGCATTTTCTTGTACAAGATCTTATACAAGGGTTTTCAGTAGGGGGATCAATGATAGTATAAAGTCACCCGGAAAATAAATCGCGTCTTCCTTATAGCTCAAGAAGTAAGAAAAATCTTTAGGTAAAAGGGGTTTCTTTAGAAAAGTAAATCGTAATTAAAAGTTAAAATACAATATTGTATTTATTTACTAATTGATTTATAGACAGACTGCAACTTTCTTGTCATATAATAAATGAGTAATTTAAATGTAATTTGCAGAACAATTTTTTGAGAATAATTCGATCCATTTTTAAAAATCTCGTTCACCATATTGAATCCACCATTTTGAATTTTGAAACACTAATATGAGATTCGTAACCAGCGACCCCGAAAACCGCCTGTGTAACGAATTTGAGGTGAATGTGGTCGATTTTTAAAAAAACTTGTTCGATATTTTAAATCCGCAATTCTGAAGTTTTTAAAACTGACATAAGATAGAAATAAGCGACTCCAGAATTCTTTGATTAGTTATTTTAGTAAGTTTAGCGCTTAACTTAATTTGACTGTCTGAATTTTTGCTGCAAATGTTGAAGGGATACTAAAATAAAAAAAAGTAGTACCGTTCACTAAATGTAGTGTGAAATTGTTATTTTTAATCTAATCGAGGTCCATAAGTGCTCAAAAGTTTCATAATGAAATAGATTATCAATTAAAAATTTAAAACCTAAACATTTTTTATGTTTGTTGTGAAAAAAATAAGCAGAAGTTACTAAAACCTCTAAAAATAATCAAAATTTCAATAAAATTTTATCTTTAATCGACTATAACGCTCTCAATTTTCGTTCAATTTTATAATTTTATTCTATGATCAATGAATCGAAAGGTAATTTAATTACCTTTCCAACGGCATCTTATTCATTATATTTTGATAAGCTGATTTTACTGGTAAGTTTAAGTGCCGTTGCATTTCGAAAATGCAAAAATTGCAGCTATAGCAAAACTACACTAGGGAAAAAATTTAAAACTATGATTATCCTACTTAAAACGTTAAAACACACCTACTAATAGAAAAAAAGGTTTTGTTCGATTGTCAAAAAAAAGTTTTTAATTTGTAAAGCTGTGTTATTCAATTCTAGGGGAGTGTTGTTAGAGTTGGGCATAGTTTTGACTTTTCTTCATAACTTCCCCTGTAGAACGAATTTCGCGATTTCACGCATATTGTTGGAAAGATCAACTCAAATGCAATGTTTTTGCTGAACATTGTAAAAAAATTTGACCAAAAGATTCGGAGTTATAAGCAATTTAAAAAAAAGTTGCCAGGGTTGAACATGGTTGCCAGAGTTGAGCCACTGTAGAAAAGCAATGAAATATTTAGGTAAATGATTAAAAATGACCTTTAAATGATAGAATGACACTTGGGAATGAGGAAAGGAACCATGAAATTAAAATAAAATCCCATATTATGCATTATCATATAACTTTAGATAATTTATTCCTCATGAACGAAATCCAAAATTAAAAAATTGAAAAAATGAAAAAAGGTTATCAAGAAATTTTTTTTTCTCTCTATCCAATGGAAATGAAGTTTTTAACACCTCTTTAAGTGAAAAAATGAATTTCTGTTGCAAGTACGCTTTGTAATTGCAAAATTTCGGGTTACTCAACTCTAACAACCGCTCATGGCTCAACACTGACACACGCGTCGTTTTGCGTCATATCGCGCAGAATAAAAACGCGTGACACAAACACCAAATTACTTTACACATTTTCACATATCATCTTAATGAACAATTTTTGTAAACTTATTTTGTCTTTGGCATATTTCTTTTACATTTAGTTCTCTTCTTTTGACACCACAAAAAAGTTTTTGTTGACCCTATATCACAAAGTCGCACAATACTAAAATATACACTGTAAAAAATTTGGGGATTTTTCCCTGAGGTTCCTTGTGGAATATTCCACAAATTCACGGGGAAAAGTATTTTCACTACGATTTTGGGGAATTTTCCACAAATTAGTGAAATTTTGAACAAACTTGGGGAAAAGTGATAAAATATTAGGGAATTTTCTACAAAGCGAATGGGAAAAAATTTTTTACTACAATTTTGTGCAATTTTCCACATAATAGTGAAAATTTCAACAATATTATAGGGAAATTTGTATATAATTTTAGGGAATTTTCCACATATTAGTAAGAAAATGTCATTTTATGAAAGCTTTGTGGAATTTTCCCAAATTTAATAAAAATTTCCACAAAGTTGAAAAAACTTTTTTAAATTTTATAAAATGGGTTAATTTTTACTAAATTGCATGTACAAAATTATTAACATTTTTACAAAATGTATGATTTAGGGGCTAAAAAATTAAAATTTATATTACAGTGAAATGTTTTTTTATAATACTTCATTAAATTAATGTTTTAAACAAATGAGCTTTGTCTAATTTATAATTTAAATAACAATTTTTACTAGAAAAAGCATTTAGAAGAAATGAAATTAATTAAACTTTACAATTATTATAATTTTAATAATTTAATAATTATATAATAAAAAATACTTTCACTATGAACTACATAAATTTTTTGTTCTACTTATAGTAAAAATTTTATCTTAAAAATACAATTAATACTTTGGTAAAAAATTTTTTAATAAAGCATGTTTAACAAACAATTATAAACTATTTTTCACTTATAAAAAGCATTGCCATAAATAGTTAGGTTTATTAAAAGATATATACTATGGGGGGCCTTAAAATTTTTTTGCTCTTAGTCGAAAGTATAAAATGTTTTGAAGCATTTTCTCATTTTGAAAGATTTGGCACATCTGGTTTGTCTTTGGATGACCAACAATACCTAAGGGTTTCTCGTTGCAAGGGGACGTATTTTATGAGTTTCTCGCAGGACCCGTTTTTTTCTTATAAATTTATTTAGCTAGAATGTTTGAGAAATTCTCAAGAAGTCTTCTTCGAAAAGTCTTTCAAGATGATTTTACATGTTAGTTGCTTTTCAGCCTTCGTAAGAGTAAAACCTTGAGTGAAAAAAATATTCAAAGTTATTAAATATATAGTGATGGTTATATGTATAATAGTGAAGTGGACAATTTGACAATATTTAATAATATTCTAGAACGATATTTAAGGATTATTTAAAAATTATTAAAAAGGTAAATAATATTTAAAGATATATTATAATTATATTGTAAGTGTAACATATTGTATTGTAAAGTTTTTTAAAACTATTTTTGGTTTTATCAAAAAATTTAGTTAGTTATTCATATTTTGCCATATAATGTTAATTTAACAATTGACTTATAGAATTCAATTAATTTTTAATATTTTAGTTAGATAACGTAGTTTAGGTATTTTTTATATTTTAATCAAAATAAAAATTTTTTAATTTATTTTAAAAATATATAAATAAAAATATGAAATATAATATTGAATTAGAAAAGTCAAAACCCTATTACTACTATATATTCATAGTTTTTGGTAAATATATTATTGTTCAATTTAATTTTTATGTATTTTTTTGTCAATTGTAAAAGGTAAATAATAATTTATTTTTACAGTATGTTGTTGGACAATCAACCCCCTAAAGGCAATATAAACGGAGAACTTTCGCATGACACAAAGACTATTTGCGATCCGAAAGCAAAAAATTAATTATTAATGTTGTAAAGTTCAGATGTAGTACTTTTAACTGAAGTACTTATCGTTCACTGACAGTACC